TTTCTCGCCCAGGGATCCCTTCAGAGACAATCTCTTATTGCTTCCAGGGAGACACATGCTTATTTCTACTTTTCCAGCTTGACAAATCTGCCCAGGACGTTCTTAGTTCAGTGGTGGGGTGGCGGGCTGAGGTGCATGTTTATTTCACTGCTATGGGTTTCAAATCAATTGGGACACAGGGCGACTGGAACCCGTCATCTCCCTCTCCCTGTGATGGATGTGGAAGAGAGCTTTTTTATTCTATTATATCTATCTCCATAAAAGGAGGAACAGTTTTATTGTGGCTGTCAGCCAGAAAAATTAGACATATTGCTAATAGGAAGACCCATGGCAACACCTCCTGGTTGATATACATGGTGACAAAATTATATTAGTTGCAGCCCCAATAAACTGAGAAACATTTTCTTGTATAAGTAGTTCAAGAAACTGCAGCTCAAAGTACAATTTGTTGTTGCTGTGTCTGACTTAGCTTTCTGGTCCATACGTTAGAAAATTCCTTACATTTCCATTTCCCGTGTGTGTGTGTATCATGCCTTTAACATTACTCGCTGGAAACGTTTGATGATTTGGGCATATCAGTGTTTGATCCTGTTGTTAGATTATGAATTCCAAATGCAAGTTTCCATGTGGTAATTAAACACAATTCTAATCTTCCGTTTTTACAAATGGTTAAAGCTCATGCGAACAATTTATACCACGGAACCCTAATCATATATGACCAACTGATTGTATTCACATTACATGTCCACCACCTAGGGCAGTGGTCGGCAAACTGCGGCTCGCGAGCCACATGCAGCTCTTTGGCCCCTTGAGTGTGGCTCTTCCACAAAATACCACGTGCGGGCGCGCATGTACAGTGCGATTGAGACTTCGTGGCCCATGTGCAGAAGTCGGTATTTTGTGGAAGAGCCACACTCAAGGGGTTAAAGAGCCGCATGTGTCTCACGAGCCGCAGTCTGCCGACCACTGACCTAGGGGATTAATGATATGAGAAAAATACTTCGACGTCTCAAATTAAATTACAGCGGTGGAGAGTGAGAGGTAAGAGTGACGTAAGCAGTGAGTGGCTGTGGGCCAACTAACAACAGTCTGCTCACATTCCTGAATGGCTGTTGGAGCTTTGCATCAACTTCTATAGGGAACAAAGATGCCATCGCATCCTGTACGTGCATGAACTTTCAGGACTGCTGCCCGTATGTGATCAAAATTAGTAAATAGTTCATCTTTACGAGCTGTGCACCCAGCCTTAGCCTAGAACTGTCTCTGCTTCACTGTGTCCTGGTCCCGCTCTGTAACCAATGTAAATTCTTTCAGAACTACTTACATCTTTCTTCCCCAAAACATGGGTGCAGAAGATCGGGCCTATCCCCCACAGCCCTGCTCCTGGTGGGTCGGACCGCACACCCCAGGACCTGGTTCTTTTTCTGGCAGCATTTGGCTCAATAACCCCTTTCTTTCAGAAAAGCTTTGGTAGATTGTCCCCTCTATCAAAAAACGTCGATCTTTGCATCTTGTTACTTTCTTTATTTTGTGACCTATTTTGTCAGATGAAAGTATGGCTACACCACTTTTCTCTGGGTGTCGTTTGCTTGGAGAATCATTTCCCACCCTTTCACTTTGAGTCTTATTTGTCCTTGCAGCTAAGATGTGTCTCCGGAAGGTGGCACATGGTTGGGTTTTGTTTTTGATTCAATCCACTACTCTGTGCCTTTTTAATGCAATCCACATAAAAATCCCAATGTCATTTTTTTAAAGAAATAGAACAAGAAGTCATTAGATTTGTATGGAACCACAAAAGACCCCGAATAGCCAAAGCAATCCTGAGAACAAAGAACAAAGCTGGAGATGTCACACTCCCTGACTTCAAATTATAAAACAAAGCAGCAATAATCAAAACAGCATGGTATTGGCAGAAAAACAGACAGACTGACTAACGGAGCAGAATTGAGAACCCAGAAATAAACCCCCATATATATAGGCAAATAATTTCTGATAAAAGAGCCAAAAATTTCTAATAGAGAGAAGAAAGCCTCTTTAATAAATGATGCTGGGAAAATTGGAAAGCCACGTGCAAAAGAATAAAGCTAGATTGCCATTTGTCACCATCTGCAAAAATGAACTCAAGAAGGGTCAAAGACCAAAATATAAGACCTGAAACAGTAAGTTACATAGAAGAAAACATAAGTACTAAACTTATGGACCTTGGTCTTAGTGAAAATTTTATGAATTTGACCCAAATGCAAGAGAATTAAAGGCAAAAATAAATGAAAGGGACTACATCAAATTAAAAAGCAAGAGAAACCATAATCAAGACAAAAAGGCAAACAACACCTCTGATAAGCGGTTAACATCCAAAATATATAAAGAACTCATATAATTCAACAACAACAAAAATAAACAATCCAATTAAAAAATGGGCAGGGGACCTGAACAGACACTTCTCCCAAGGACATACAGGTGGCCACAGGTGTATGAAAACATGCTCAACTTCACTAGCTATTAGGGAAATATAAGTCAAAACCACAATGAGATACCACCTCACACCTGTTAGAATGATTATTGTCAACAAGATAAATAATAACAAGTGTTGGAGAGGTTGTGGAGGAAAAGAAACCCTCATTCACTGCTGGTGGGAATGTAGATGGTACATCCACTATGACAAACAGTGTAGAAGTTCCCTAAAAGATTAAGAACAGAGTTACCATATGACTCAGCAACCCCTCTTCTGGGTATCTACCTGGAAGATTTGAAAACATTTATTCATAAATATATATTTACTCCTATATTCATTGCAGCATTATTCATGGTGGCCAAAACATGAAAACAACCAAAGTAGCCTTTGATAGATGATTGGATAAAGAAGATGTGGTACATATATACAATGGAACACAACTCAGCCATAAGAAGATAAAATACTGTCATTTGCGACAATATGGATGAATCTTGAGGATATCATGCTAAGCAAAATCAGACAGAAAAAAGTCAATAACCATATGATTTCACTCATGCCTGGGATATAAAACTGAAAGCAACAAACAAACAAAAACTCACAGATACAGACAACAGTATGGTGGTTACCAGAGGGAAAGGGCATTGGGGGGAGGTAGAACAGGGTAAAGAAAGTCAAATATATGGTGACTCAACTTTGGGTGGTGAACACACAATGAACTATTACAGATGATCTATTATAGAAATGTACACTTGAAACCTCAAAGATTTCACTAACCAATGTCACACCAATAAATTCAATAAAATTTTTTTAAAAAGAAAATCTTTGGGCTGTGAAATTTTTTTGTTTAACAAAGATGACCTCCCTTGCTGCTTAGGGCCGTGGAGAAGATGAGGAGGTTGTGAGGGCCAGGAGGAGAGCGTGCTTGGAGCTGAGTGCAGCTCTAGCAGCCGAGGGAAGAGGAGAAAAAGACACGTCCTCCTGGGCCACCCTGTTGTTGTTGTCTTTAAAACTCTCATCTGAGAGGGAAGAAAAGAGAGAGAGAGAGAGAGAGAGAGAGAGAGAGAGAGAGAGAGAGAGAGAGAAAGAGAGAGAGAGAGAGAGAGAGAGAGAGAGAGAGAGGCGGGGAGAGGGAGAGAGAAACACTTATGTGAGAAACATCAATTGGTTATCTTTCCTATGTGCCATCCAGGTATATGCCCTGACTGAGAATTGAACCTACAACAACCTTTCCATGCACAGGACGATGCTCAACCAATGGAGCCACTCTGGCAGGGCGTCCTGGACCACCTTAGCCTTTCATACATCCAATGATCTTGGAACATGTTCAGTAAATGAAACTAACAAAGAATTCGGATTTGGCTTTCTATCCCCAAATTCTGGGGTCCTTGGAGGACAGGTGTGAGGACTATCACTTCTATAAGGACGCTGGGACTTGGGGACATTTCGCACCCTTTAATTTTCTGACTCCGGTGGGGTTAGTGGTTTAGTGTCTGTCCCTGGGCCGGATTGTAGGCAATCTGGCCTGAGGGCGGATCTCTCATTATCACAGGCGGCTGCAGCCCCGTTTAATGTGGTGCCTCACACAGAGATGGACCGGTGCCTGGTGCACAGCTGAGGTTGCAAACAGGCGTCAAGCCAAACTCTTGAAACCATCTCTTCTGCTTTCCAGGCTTGTCCTTGACACATATTTTCTTCCCTAAGAGCCTCAGTAATTTTCATAATTTCTTATTTGTCACTTTCAGCATCTCAAGAGCATTCCAGGATGTTATCTTTATTCATCTCCTTCTCTCGTTTCTCCTCCTTTTAAATTGCTGCTGGGAAAGGAGTAGTACTTGGGTTTTAGTGCAGGATGGAGTGACGATGACAGGATATTTTTCCTGTATAAGAACTGTTTATACTGGTATAAAGAATATAGATTTCATTTTCTTTTTAATCCTCACCCGAGGATATTTTTTTCATTGACTTTTAGAGAGAGTGGAAGGGAAGGGGGAGAGGCAGAGAGAGAGAAACATAGATGTGAGAGAGACATATCAACTGGTTGCCTCCCGCATGCCCCCCGACCAGGGCAGGGGATTGGCCTGCAACCGAGGTACATGCCCTTGACCAGATTCAAACCCAGGACCCTTCAGTCCACGGGCTGATGCTTTATCCACTGAGCCAAACCGACTCGGGCAAGAATACAGCATTTCCGAGGAGAGAGCTTCCGGGAGTGAAGCACTATTATTCTTTGCCTGTTTTATCAAAACAAAAACGCTTCTCTCTGGTAGCATACAACCGCCCACAGTCGCGAGTACAAAAGGCTCACTGATGCCGTTCGCATTCCTTTCGGACATCCTGGCTGCAGCCCCCTGCGCGCGGTGGTTCTGGCTGTTCTGAAGTCCCCCCAGGCCCCGGGGGCCACTCAAGTTCAGCTGCACGTCCCTTTGAGAGGACGCTTACCTGACAGGTCGCGGCAGGAATGGCCACTGCATCCCAGATGCACGTCCCCTCCCCGGTGGGACTGCCCTTTCCCGCTGGCCCTCACCGTAGCCACAGAGTCCACACTTACATGTCATCGAAGACGAGTTTCTGCCTCTTGCAGTCCCGGTGGCCGCTGGAGCCCGGGGACCACGGCTCCGTCTGTGGCCGTGGCTTGTGGAGAACACTTTCCGAGCTGTGGTGAGCTGCTTTCTAAACAACAAACAACACGCCGGTTCTAAGAAACTGGCCACGTGGCTGAGAGAGCAACCCATTGCACAGAATATTTTGTGTCCCGGACTCTGTTAGAATTGGTGGTGCTTTTGTTTAAATAAAGAAAAAGAAATATGTGCATCCCAGTTCTCAAAAGGGGCTTTCAGATACAGGGTGGGGCAAAAGGAGGTCTACAGTTGTTCATATGAAAAAAAGCCATGCAGGTAAGGATTGTAATAATACAAGAATAAACCCCGTGTTTCGCACACCCACAACCGTAAACCCACTCTGCCCGCCCTGTATGCTGTGCAGTGTCATCTCACAACAGTATCATCGGAGAAGGCTTGGCGTGGCCTCTCACAGACCCGGGCCCTGCGGTTCAGCGAGGTCAAGTGACAGCCGACCCCCAGTGCTGGGACGGGGGCCCGAGGCTAGCACTCGCCCTGCTCTCCTCCATTGGCGAGACCTGCGGTTCTCCAAGTTGACTGCATGAGCTCATTCTGTGCAGAGCAGCACACAGACAGTGGCCCCCCCTCCAGAGCCTCCAGGTCCGTGGGTCAGGGGCGGAGTCTGAGAGCGTGCATTTCTAACAAGCCCCAGGTGCTACTGACCACTGAGCTGTAACCCACAATCCCTCGCAAAAGAGGTGTTCAGATTACAAACAGACTGCCTCTTATTCGCTGTCTATAAGATTATAAAAAGCCATCGGGAGTTACTAGAAATTATTTAAAATATGTTTTTAAAAGGACACTATTGATTTGTGGAAAAATTAAAAAAATTATAACTCTTGGGGACACAAATATTTATAGAGCACCCATTGTGTGCATACACTTGGATCAGAAGGCAATTGCCTTTGGTTATGAAGTTCAAATCAATTCCTCTGAAGTAATTAAAATAGAAGGTAGCCTGGCCAGTATGGCTCAGTGGTTGAGCATCGACTTATGAACCAGGAGGTCATGGTTTGATTCCTGGTCAGGGCACAGACCTGGGTTGTGGGCTCGATCCCCAGTAGAGGGCGTGCAGGAGGCAGCCAATCAATGATTCTCTTATTGATGTTTCTCTCTCCCTTCCTCTCTGAAATCAATAAAAAAAATATTTAAAAATAGTAGAATGAAAAAAAAGTGATAGAGTGTATGCCAATGCTCCTTTCAGTGTGGGCCGATTTTATGTGGGGATCAGCCTCCTCGCTGTAAGAGCCCCCGTGCATTTCCTTCTTGCAGGCGCGGTCGGAACCGTGGATGTGTAGCCCCTGTCTAGGTCGCTCTCCCCAGCTGGACGGAGGTTCCACGCAGGCTCAGACTGAATCTGCTAGACTGTCCTTGCGTCTCTGCTGCTGGGCACAGTGCCCAGCACCCAGTAAGCACTTGCTCAATAACCATCTAGTCAGGGAAAGAATGACTAAATAAAGTCTCTAATTTTTTTACAAATTTCTGCACACCATACAATGTTTTGCTTGTGATATAAGGACCTAGAGGCAAAGAGAAGTTTTGTTTGTTTTTAAATTTGAATTGGTAGTTTTTTATTTCAGTTTTTCCTAACATGGTTTTCTCAGATTCTTATAGTTTAGAATTAAATATAATTGTTCCCAAATGAGGGCACTTTAGAGGGTTAATTTCCTGATACAACGAGATTTAGGCTCTTGTAAGACCTTCTACTAACCCTTTGATCTCATTATGGGATAAAGCATTGAGTACTGCCTCCCCATCTCCTTGTCAGAGTCATATTCTCGTATCTCACCTCCCCCAGCCTCACAAAGCCCCACTGGTTTTGACAGGCACAGTGACGGAGAGAATGCAGTGGGAGATGTGGAATGAAATAATGTAGCCCAGCGGATGCGTGGTCCGGCGCCCAGCTGGGGGGCAGTACAGAGGAACTAGCTTGTAGTGTTAGTTGCACAGGTGTCCACAGGTGTTGGGTTCTTTAGATAACATCATCTCATTTAAATCGTATGATGCTGTTTTGCAAATGAAACAGGCTCAGAGAGACGAAGCAAGTGACCCAAGGCCACATGTCCACTAATTATGAAGCTAGGTGGATGGTGCACCCCAACCCCCTGCCCTCCCCAGGGGAGTGTAGGGCACTGGAATCACCCCAGGAGATCGCCTAAAGAGGGGTGGTGGGGGTCACCCAGGGTGGAGTGGAAACCCCAACATTTTGGCCTGGGGTTTCCATTCCAGGCTTAGCTCTGTCCTGGGACAAGGAATCTTTTCAAATGAAAGGGTGGGTTGGTCCCAAACTCCCGATTTCCTTTGTCTCATGATAGTATTACTCTGGGCTGTTCTTTTCGGAATGGGGAACGAAACCCCACAGGCTTGCTGAGCAGAGGGCTCCTCAGTTTCTCCTCCTGCAGTTGTCCCTGTGCCAAATCTTCCCAGAACAGCCTAAGGGATCCTTTCTGGAACCTCAAGTGTGTGTCCAGACCGTGCTGGGCTAAGACAGGTGGCGTGTCGGGGTGTGTTCAGCTTCATTTCACATTCAATGGGGACAGGAAGAGCATCAACGTACCGTGAGGTCGGCGGCATGAGCCGGCAGCTGGCTCTCCGCCTTGAGCTTTTTGTTGGAGGCGGTGGAAGGGAACAAGCCACTGCCGCTGGATCTGCTGGAAGACGTCAAGTCCTCACTGGAGTATTTGTGTTTAGAGGCGTCGGAGAGGGGTGAGATGGGCGACCGGAGCAGCTTTTCATTTTTATTGATGGGTATTGCCAAGCTGCAAAAGAAAATCACAGTAATGGAATGTCACAAGCCAGCACAGGGAGAAGTAAATGTCTTATATATGACCCAAGCCTCCTATTTAAAGCCTGCTGGCAGCAAGACGTTTATGGGGAATTATTATACCCGGAAACAATTTTATGGCATTAGGACCATAACAAACAATAAGCAAATTTCACTCATTGTTTCTTTACTCGTCCTACAGGATGAAGAGTAACTCTGGAGTTAAATAACTAAGAATAATAAGACTTTCATTTTCTAAGTTTTTCACCCATGGATCTCAAAATGCACAACCAACTTCTTCCTGTTTTCCTACTAAGTGTCAGCAGCAAGCAATGAGGAGTCAATCAAATGGCATACTTGTTCCTACTTCTAAAAGGACTTTTGCTAACAGCTGAGCTTATACTAATTATTTTATGGAGAATAACAGAATTACAGAATGACTTGCAAAGCAAGAAAGCAACTTTCAATTGTTAGGTTTCCCAGCTAACCAGGCATTGATCAGAATGAACACAGAACAAAAAACTCATCAGAAGTGACATTTTCGAATTCTAGCTCCTGATTTTACCTTCAAAACTCCAGTCTGGAACTCCCTCCCTGCTCCCCTCTCCCCGGCCCCCCCATCCCCCCGCCCCCCACACAGACACACACAATTAACCATCAGAGAAGTTAGTCATTATCCTAGAGTTATTGTTAGGACTCTCTCCATTACTTAATTTGAAAAAAATTGGGGAAAGACACATGAGCTTGAAAGAAACTCAACCATTGCTAATTTGGGATGCTTGTAGAAGTCCCCTGATAGAGTCAGTTAAAAAAAGAAAAGGTAAATTCATTTAACAAAATGTAGTCATTATTCCCACAGTTATGATTGTATGTGTTGGCTATCCCTGCAAACAAATCATTAAGGTCACTTCAAAAGAAATTTCCTTAGTTGGTGGTGACCATGTAGAAATAGCAAACACAGGCCTCAAATGACAAAGCCAAGGCTCTCGAGATTATGCAAATAGACACGTTTAGGGATAGAATCTGTGGTGATCGATTTCTGGTTCAAAAAGCTTTGGACGACTAACAGCTTAGCAGTGGGAAGGCACGTCTGAAAAACTGCCGTGGGCCAATCACAGTCACTGGGCTAGTGATGATGGAGGCGCTGACGGTGAAGATGGATGTGAACAGTCTGAATAGAACTGTTTCTTGACATGTGAGTGAAAAAGTCCCATATCTAACTCTATCATTGTACATATATGTGATTTTAAATGTTCATGGAAAATTGGATTATTACATTGTACTATCATGGACATATGATTATTTCTTCTTTATCATTATACGTTTATATAGTCAAGCTGACCAAAGAAACTTTCTTTGGATCTCCTTTTTGGGATGGGTGACCTCTTTACATATGGGGTTGTCCTATCACACGGGTATAACTGACAGCAGTCAGCACCAACCCGGGGGTACCCAGACCGCCTTTCCTAGAAAGTACTCAAGGCACATTGCTATGCACGGGGTCATCACTTAACATGAAACCACCAGATGGGGCATGTGGAGAAGCATGGGACTTGGTTGGAAAGTCTGTAAGGAGGATTCTCCGAAAGGTCGGGGGCCTCTGGGGGGACCCTGCCGAAGGCGGCAGCCCCTACCGTGACTTTTCCAAACAAGTCCGATCCTCAGGGTGTTTTGCTAGAATCTCTATGTTTGGTCTTTAGACATGACCTTGTAGAAGCATATACTTTCTTTAAGGATGCTTACCCTGCTGATTGTATCTAGAGGTTAATTTTAGTTCAAGCTGTTGCTACAATAAAAACCTAAGGAGGCAGGCAATCGAGGCTTTTTTGATGCCTTATGCCAACTAGCCCCTTAGCTTCTCTTTCACAGAAATGTGTGTCAGAGTAATCATTCATCCGTCGTTCAGGGTCTGCTGGTCAGCCCCCGCAGGGCAGGCTCTGCCAGGCAAAGGCTCTACTGCAAGAGCTTATGAGTCCTGGGCTCCATGTAGGATGGAAGCGACACCCTCACTCTCAATAACCTCTCACTGAAATTGAGCATAATGAATACTGTTTATAATCATCACTACAATCATGGTAGTTACACATGTGCTAGAAAGGTTACTTATCCTGGCCGGGGTGGCTTAGTGGTTGAGTGTCAGTCAACCTATGAACCAGGAGGTCGCGGTTCAACTCCTGTTCAGGGCATATGTCCAGGTTGCGGACTCGATCCCCAGTAGGGGGCATGCAGGAGGCAGCTGATCAAGGACTCTCTCTCACCATTGATGATCCCCAGTAGGGGGCATGCAGGAGGCAGCTGATCAAGGACTCTCTCTCCCTCTCCCTTCCTCACTGAAATCAATAAAACAAATATATATAATTTTAAAAGAAAGGTTACTAATGCTAATGGACAAAGAATCACATATCTATACTAATAAAAGGGGAATATGCTAATTAGACCGGGTCAACCGGCCATCTTCCAGACGTCCGAATTCCTTCCAGACAAAGCCACGGTGGTGGGGACCGAGGGAGAGGCAGTTAGGGGTGAGATCAGGTTGGCAGGGGAGGGCAGTTGGGGGTAAGATCAGGTTGGTAGGGGAGGGCAGTTGGGGGCAAGACAGGCAGGCAGGTGAGTGGTTAGGAGCCAGTGGTCCTGGATTGCGAGAGGGATGTCTGCACAGGGATTGGGCCTAAACTAGCAGTTGGACATCCCCCGAGGGGGTCCCAGATTGGAGAGGGTGCAGGCTGGACTGAGGGACAGCCCCTCCGTGCACGAATGTCGTGCACTGTGCCTCTAGTATAACTATATGCACATTTGAAAGACGATTTGGAACCACATTGTCCCCATTAACTTTTTCCCAGTTATTTTGGGATACTGTTCACTCGGCACAGAATTTGTGGACAACGCCAGCTTGTGTGCAGCTCTCCCTCCTGCTCAGACCTTCACAAGCCCTGGCCCCTCCCAAGGTGGCTCTAATACGGCAGCGGGCCTGCTCACGCGCCTCGCTCTCGGCGTGTTAGTGCCGCTCTCCATCTCCTCCTAACCTCTCTGCTTACAGTTTTATGTGTTGTGCTGCAGCATTCATCTCCCCTTACAAACGCTATGTTCGCAGCCAGGGAGAGCGAGGAGTCTTCGCAGAGGAAAAGTGGGTTCCGAGCTGTGCTATTTCGAAATGGCAAGAGCGCCTATGACTGATGAGAAGCTACTTGCTTGTGATGAATACCTGGGACCTTGCCTTGCGAGAAAGACATTTGTCACAGAGGGGCCTCAGTGCCACGCGGGTCCATCTGGAACGCCTGTGGAGGCGTCTCTAGGCGGCCGTTTAACCTTGGAGACACAGATTCTGTCCAACACCATGATTTTAGTCTACATCTAAGAGCGTTAGGTGCGTCGTATGGAGATTCAGCTCAAAATTTATATTTCTCCATTCGTGTAATAAGCGTAGTGTCCTAAGCTTAGCTATTAAAATCACGATTTAAGAATCCAGTTATTAAGCGTTCAGAGGGAAGCTGGTCTTTTGTTACAGAGAAGCACTTACACACCCCGAGCGGTGACCCGAGGTGCACATCTCAGTGTAATGAGGAGCCTTAGGCTAACCGAGGAGAGCAGGCCCGGACACCCAGACCAGAGCAGTCATTGAAAAACCGGACTTTCCCAGGGGGCACATGACTTCAGCCCCAGAGACCCCACCAGCTCACCTCCGCCCCCGAGGGAACACACACCTGCTGACGTTCATGTTGCAAGGATTCGCAGACACAGTGTTACTGGCAGAGGCGGCCTGTCGGGAAGAGCTCTCTTTCTCTCCCTGGGCCTTCTTGACCTCCCGGTAGTCGTCTTCGTTGTCACACTGCGCGCAAATAAGCAGAAACCAATCAGCTGCGGCTTTTAAAGGATCGTAATGAGCTCCCATCACCGTCTTGCTCAGAGCAAGGCCTTGGAGACCAGCTCACTCGCCTCTCTGGAAGGCATCTGAGCAGCAATGTGGTCCAGCGCCCTGGCCCTGGCCTGGGTTCCCAGTCAGCGCCTCATCAAATAAGGATGAAACGGGTCAGTTTTACTATTGGCAGTTCAGTGAGAGGGAAAGCCCGGCATCCCGATAAAAATGCAGGACACAACACTGTGAATGACGAAAACGGCTCTGCCGTCAACAGACCTGACTTAGCCTCCGGAGACCTGCCCTGTCCGCAGCCTCTCCTCCTGGCATTTCTCGGCATCCGAACAGGGCACAGCAACCTGTTCTCAGTGCCAGGAGGGCAGTGACAAGCTCGACCCTTTCTTCTGAAATTCACAGCTTTTATGAATTTCAAGCAAAGGTGTTACTTACCTCTTGGTGCCTTACTCCCAGTTCACAATGGCTCTCCCATGCTATCGGAGAACCTTTGAAGCACCTTTTTGTGAAATAGTTCTTGAATTCAAGTATGTTTCCTTGGTTGTGTGTAACATTAGACGTGTATTAGGGTGCCATGCAAATGCGCTCCAGCTCTGGTGCGGCAGCAGGAACACAGGGATGGCAAGTGCAGGGCCCTCGGCAGTGCTGTCCAGAAGACATTTCCTCTCTCGCTGGGATTGTCATAGCCTCTCTCATAAGGACCCCAAGGGCTCCACTGAAACAGCGGAGGATCCCCAGTCCTTGGCTCTGGGCTCCAGCAGAGCTAGACTCTGCACCTTTGGCAGCCTGGTCTACAGGGTCCCATTTCCTGCACCCAGTATTGGGGTCTTAACACCCAGATGCTGAGTAAAGGGCACTAACAAATGATCTTTCACTTCTCTGTGTCTGTGTTTAATAACCAGTCATGAGATTTTATGAGCTTGGTGTCAGGCTTGGCATAAATGAAGTTTCATAAGTTAAAATTTAAAAGGGTCATAAATAAAACTATTTAAATACAGAACATTATGGAATTTATATATACTTATACATATTTATATATGTCTTTCTGCACATCTCCTTCTCTATATCTATATATGCCTATACATGTATCTGTATTTCCAATCTATGTTTATCAATTTCTCTCTCTGTATGTTTCTTATATATCAGTGGTTCTCAACTTTGGCTGCACATTAGAATCACTTGGGAATCTTTTTAAAATCCTGATTTCCAGGCCTCATCCTCCAGAAATTCTGTTTCTTTGTTACTAATGTTGTGGCCTCACCCCATAACAAAGAAACAGAATTTCTGGAGGATGACGCCCAGAAATCAGGATTTTAAAAAGATTCCCAGGTGATTCTAATGTGCAGCCAAGGTTGAGAACCACTGTCATATATCTTTGTGTCTCTCTTACCCAAGCCCCCTCTCTTTTCATTATTCTATCCATGTATCCATCAATCCCCAGGTGGTTAATTGATTGTTCAGTCAATTGATCACCTGAGGCCTGATAGATAGATCAATCCAAAAGTAATGAGGAGGGCAGGATATCTAGAGGAAAACAGGAAGAAAGAGGGTGAGGGAAAAAGTGGGTTAACCCATATTACTGAATTATATTGTTTGAACTTGACAGTGCCCTTGCAAAGGTGTCACCATTTTACAAATGAAGAAAATGAAATAAAGAGAAGGCAAGGTCACCAGATTAAGGTCACCCAGGAGGCAGTAAGGACTATATAATTTGCTGGTTCAGCACAAAATGAAAATGTTGGGCTCCTTGTTAAAAAAGCAAGAAAAGTTCCTTGTCTTGAAGATGATTTTTTTTTTGACAACGAAAGCAAAAATAAACAAGTGGGACTACATCAAACTACAAAGCTTCTGCAAAGACAAGAAAACCATCAACAAAATGAAAAGGTAACCTACTGAATGGGAGAAAATATTTGCAAACCATATATCTGATAAGGAGCCAATAACCCAAATATATAAAGAAGTCACAACTCAAAAGCGAAAAACCCAAAACAAACAATCTGTTTAAAAAATGGGCAGAGACCTGAATAGACATTTCTCCAGAGAAGACATACAGATGGCCAACAGGTACATGACAAGGTGCTCAACATCACTAATGACCAGGGAAATGCAAATCAGACCACAGTGAGCTATCACCTCACACCTGTTAGAATGGCTGTGATAAAACAGACAAGAAACAACAAGCATTGGCGAGAACATGGAGAAAAGGGAACCCTCCTACACTGTTGGTGGGAATGGGAATTGGTGTAGCTACTATGAAAAACAGTATGGAGGTTCCTCAAAAAATTAAAAATTGAACTACCATGTAATCCACCTATTCTGTTTCTGGGTATTCATTTGAAGAAAAAGAAAACACTAATTTAAAAAGATATGTATATTCCTTATACATGCTCACTGCAGCATTATTTACAACAGCCAAGATATAGGAACAACCTACATATTCATCAATGAATAAATGGATAAAGAAAATTATCCTATCTAATAAAAGGGTAATATGCAAATTAACCATCACTCCATCACAAAGATGGTGGCGTTCATAGCCACATGATGGCGGTGCCCAGTCCTCTCAGCCCCGCCGGAGTTCCGCAGTCCCGGGGGTGGGGTGTGGCTGTTGAGAGCAGGCAGTGTGAGCAGCCTGGAGGAATGCTTGCTTCGTTGTTGCAGTGTTCCACCCTGGCCGCGGGCAGTGGGCACGGAGTGGCTGGGGCGGGGGGCGGGGGAACACTTGCCCTTAGCGATGAGGCAAGCATTCCGCGCCCGGCTGCAGAGGGCCTCTGGCCAGGCCAGGCACGGAACGCTTGCATCTTTGCAGGCCGGGCTGAGGGACAGCCCCTCACCCGCGTGCACGAATTTTGTGCACTGGGCCTCTAGTATCTATAAAATATATATTCACACACATATACACACGATACAAACAATGGAATATTATTCAGCCATAAAATAAAATCTTGCCAAAATGGATGAATGTTGAGGGTGTTATGATAAGTGAAATAAGTCAGATAGAAAAAACATAAATACTATATAATCTCACTTATATGTGAACTCCACAAAACAACAAAAAAACCCTAAATAAATCCCCAAGCTTATGTACCTAGAGAACAGACTGGTGGTTGTTGAGGGGTCTGGAGGTTTTGGGGGGAAAGTGGAAGAAGACATGAAGGGGATCAAAAGGTACAAATTTCCATTTACATAATAAAAAAGTCCCGGGATGTAATATTCAGCATGGAGACTATTGCATATTTGAAAGTAGACAGGGAGTAGAACTTGAAAGTTCTCATCAGGAGAAATGAAATTTGTAATTATGTACGATGATGGATGTTAATTGGACTTATTGTGGTGACCATTTTGCAATATACACAAATATAGAATCATCACACTGTATACTAGGAACTAATGCAAGTTATATCAATTACACTGCAATTTTTTTAAAGGAGGAAGAGCAAAGTAGAAAGTACTAAAGTAGAAAACATTTCCTGTCTCTCAATGTCTCCCTCTTGATCTGCCATGGTGGTGTTTACTTGCGACTGTGGTCCTTAAGGCGTTGGCATACTTGGGAGGGGGGCGTGTAGACTCTCTAGTGCCCAGGATCCTGTCCGGCGACTGGGCGCATGCACACACCCCACCAGCAAAGGATTTCCACTGCCTGCCAGTGGTGGGCTCACCTGTCGAGGGTAGAAAGTCCAAGGGGGCATTTCCCCTTTCCCTGGTCCCCACAACCCAAGGAATCCGGCAACTCTTAGGGGATTGCAGTCTCCTTTCCGGGAATACTCAGAACAGGACAGGTCTTCTCTGGACCTCGCATGCTCTACTGTTCTATCACACTTCACTTACAGAGCACAAATTCAAAGAGAAAATGAAGAATATGAAGATGACAACCACCAGGATTAAACTCCAAGCAGGGAAAGTACTGCACAAACCTAAGACTGCCTTCTATTGGGAGACCTGAGCCAGACAGCCTAGGCTCACTCCTGCTCTGCTCTTATCACCTAGGGATCCCGGGCAAGTTGCTTTAAGCTCCTGAGCCTCAGTTTCCTCATCTGGAAAATGGGCATGACAATGATATTTGCCTCATAAAGTTATAAGGACTCAACGGTTTAATATACACATATGCTTATCCCTCAGGAGGATAAGCATATGTGTCAACTGTTGTTAAGGATTTTGTCCTAACTTTGGAACCATCCATGATCACTGCAATCTTTGGTTTGTCACACATTGTGTTTTTCACTGTGGTCCAAGTTACTTTTGAAGACACAGTAACAGGAGGGGACAATAATCCTCAAAGTTGGCTTTAATTTCTGACTGGGTTATTTCCATGCTGAAAAATCTTCGAAAACTGCTGAGCATCTGGGTCAGCTTCCAGATGTATTTCCAGCCTCCCGTCCTTGCACTGCCTTTCTCGCGCCTGCGCTTCCCTGGTTTACCCGTTCCCCTCTTTCGGTGCCACTTCATCCCTGACCCTCTGATCGCAGTCACGTGCCACATAATGACATTTTAGTCAATGATGGACTGCCTATACGACAGTGGTCCCATAAGACTGTAATGGAGCCTGGCCGGTGTGCTCAGTGGACTGAGTGTCATCCCATGCACCAAGAGGTTGCTGGTTTGATTCTTGATCAGGGCACATGCCTGGTTGTGGGTTTGATCCCCAGTAGGGGCGTGCAAGAGGCAGCAGATCAATGTTTCTATCTTCCTCTCTCTCTCAAATCAATAAAAACATATTAAATTTAAAAAAAAATCATAATGGAGCTGAAACATTCCTATTGCTTTGTGATTCTGTGGCCGTCCTAACATCATAGCGCCATGCATCACTCACGTGTTTGCAGTGAGGCGGTGCAAACCAAGCAGCTGCACTGCCCGTTGTATGACAGTACAGCACATACAACTATGCACAGTCCGTAATACTTGATAATGATGACACACAACTATGTTACTGATCTATGTATTTGCTATACTTTTTATCATTATTTGTGTATTCTTGATACTTATTAAATTTTTTTCTGTACAACAGTATGTCGTCTTATGTTAGCAACAGCCTCATACGTCTCCTGTTTATCTAGCTCTTTTCTCTTGTGCTTGACTTAATGTCATGTTGTTTTCTACAGTAACATGCTCTGCAGGCTGGTAGCCCAAGAGCAATAGCCTATCCCATACAGCCTATCCCATACAGCCTATCCCACACAGCCTATCTCACACAGCCTATCCCATACAGCCTATCCCACACAGCCTATCCCATACAGCCTATCTCATACAGCCTATCCCACACAGCCTATCCCACACAGCCTATCTCATACAGCCTATCCCACACAGCCTATCCCACACAGCCTATCCCATACAGCCTATCCCATACAGCCTATCTCATACAGCCTATCCCATACAGCCTATCCCATACAGCCTATCTCATACAGCCTATCCCACACAGCCTATCCCATACAGCCTATCCCACACAGCCTAGGTGAGTAGGGGGTTAGACCATCTAGGTTTGTGTAACTGTACTCCGTGAGGTTTGATCAAACACAAAATCACCAACCATGCACTTCTCAGAGCAAATCCCAGACATTAAAGGGCACATGACTGTACTCAAATCCCTCCTCCTCAGGGCCCTGTCCCAGCCCCTCTCCACCACCAAGCTCCTGATCAACACGATGAGGCTGGTGCTCCTCCCACAGGGCCGTCCTCCCACCGCCTGGCTTCGTGCACTTGTCTTCAGGCTTCACCCAGTCACAGCCTTACGTTTTGCTGGCTCCTCAGTCAGTGAGTGACCCCACGGTTGATGTCACTGCACCCCTCCCAGCAAAGAATGGGGTTCACCAACCAGTGGCTGGCTTTCTACAGGCCCAGCTGGCCTCGTACACACTTGATCAAGACTTCCTGTATGCCTACTTCAACACGCAGCAGACAGGGCTTCGTTACCAGAGCTGTAAAATGGGAATTATAATGGTTCTCCTGCACTGGGTGGCTGTAAGGGTTTAACTGAGTGACTGTATGTCAACCATTTACGACAGCATCGGGCATGTGTCAAGTGCCATGTGAATGTCTGCTGAGTGAAGACACACAGAACTGCTGCTGCCTCCCATTCCAGACCAGCAGCTGCTTGTGCTGTCACCTCACCCACAAGTTAAGGGGCAGCCCTCCTTCCCCAGTCCCGCAGCCCCATGCCTACCTTGCGTTTCCTCTTGGATTTGGGCAAAGCCTTTTCTACGGGTGCGTCGGATGGGTGGGTTGGAGGAGCGCTCTCAGCGTCCTTGGCTGCAGGCGTGCTGAGGGCCGCGGCCTCCTGGGGCAAGTGTTCTGGGATCCTGGACAGGAGGGTCAGGTCAATTTTGACCCAGAGAGACCTGACCTCGTCACTGTCCTTCAGGGGGGAGAGAAGTTCGTTGCGGCCGAAGGGGACCAGCGTGTAGAACTGCTCCTCCAGCTCCTTGGCGATGTCGCTGGTGGTCCTGGCGTTGATGGAGCCCACGGGTGCGCGGGGCCCCGCCGCCACTGCTGATGCTGCCGGCGCCTCCTTGAGCCTCTGGTCGCTTGCAGAGGCGGCGGCCACAGCCGGCGCTTTGGCCAGAGGTACTCCTCCTGCTCCGACTCCAGGTCGGAGTCCGAGGAGGAGGACGAAGATGAGGACTCTGTCTCGATGAACTCCTTGGACTTGGGGACGATCCTGCTCAGGCCCCGCGTGCGCGCTTCTCGCAGGTGACCGAGGCGCGC